TGTTTATTTGTTTGTTTTGAGACAGGGTTTCTCTGTGTAGCTTTGGAGCCTGTCCTGCAACTCGCTTTGTAGACCAGGCTGGCCTCGAACTCACAGAGATCCACCTACCTCTGCCTCCCAAGTGCTGGGATTAAAGGCGTGCGCCACTACCACCCGGCTTCCCAACATTCTTTAATGTACCCATAACAACCTTGTTCATTTAGCATTTATGTCACAGTTCTTACTGAACCACAGGTGACAACGGATTTGGATGCAGAGATATTCTGGTACTTTCTAGGAAGGCAAATATTAATAAAATTCTCGAATATGTGGGTTGGTGAGATAGCTCAGAGGGGTAAAGGCATTACCAGTCCTGATGACCTAAATTCAATGCCTGGAATCCACATGGTGGAAAGAGAACAGACTCCTAAAAGTTGTCCTGGGACCCCATGTGCACACACACACACACACACATACACACTTGCATGCACTCATGCATATACACAATATAAATAGGTATAAAATATTAAAAATAAAATATTCTCTCTTCTCAGGCACAAATAAATGTAAAATATTAAAAAAAAAACCTCAGGAGCGTGGTTAAATCCTAGACAAATGTAATCTATTTCTTTTGCAATCAGTCCTTCAATTTTAGAATTGGAATAAGGATATTTTGCTTTTTAACTGTGCAAACAATAAAGCCTAAACTTAAAAGGGACCTATTTCTTTAAGAGCAGAATGAAGCAAATGGCCAAGCAGATGGCAGTTTTAAACAGTAAGAACCCTGGAGGACACGGAGGACACGTGGGAAGGATGGAGAAGAAGGAGAAAGTGAAAAGCCTGCAAATTGACTGAATTTATCCTTCAGCCTCCCCACTATCCTCTGACTGATAGAACTTGACTATTGTGTTTTCTCAAGTTGAAACAATTGAGGAACCATAATTTTAGCATCAAGACAGATCTCGGTGTGAATTCTACTTTGTGTCCTAACTAATGTATTTCCTTGATTATGTAAAATATATCTTCCTTATGCAGCTGTCCTGAGAGGAAAAAAAAAACCAGCATGCAGAGAGAATGTGCACAAAGCCTTCTACATCTGAGTCTCATTCCCAGTCTCGTTTGATAGCCTACAGGCCATCCCCTCCCACAACATTTGATAACTACCCTGTTCAAGATGCGGGCTGAGGACCAGCAGTGTCAGCAGCCCTGGCACTCCTTAGAAGTACAGATGCTAGGGCCCCGCCACCTTACTTGCCGGGTCTGAACTCATATTGTAACACAACCAAGTGTGAGCACCTTTGCTGTAAGATTCCTGGGGTAGACTGCTTCCCCCCTCCTCCCTCCTTCATTTCTTCCTCTCTTTTCCTTTCTTTCCCAGTGTGTGCACATTTGTGCATGCATGTGTGTATGGAAGCCAAATGTTGAGTCGGGTGTCTTCCTGGATTGCTCTCCATCTTATGTTTTGAAGCACTGAACCCCTTGCTTACCAATTGGCTAGACTGGCTGGTCCGAGAGTTCGAGGGCCTACTTTCCATATGGGTACAGACACCTGCCTCTCACTACACTACGCTCGGCTTTCATAGGACTGTTCAGGGACCTGAACTGACATCATCATGTTTATGCAGCAGAAACTTTATTGGATCAGCCATTTCCCCATTCCCTCCTCTTCATATCTCCCCTCCCCTCCCTTCTCTTTCTTCTGCTCATCGTTTTCCTCACCTTGTGATGAAAGATGTAATCAGTGGGTATTCCACACGTGATGCAAGTTGGTCACGTGAGCAATCTGGATAAAATTATCTAGGACAACCTCCCAGTTGATGCCCTGTCACTGTTCTGAGGGAGTGAGGCTGGGTAGGCAACATATCCAAGATCTTGCCGGTAATTCACTGAAAGAGGCTGCACACACATGCATGCTAGGCAAGCATTCCACCACTGACAGAGCTATCACCCAAGCCCTCTTTGTACCTTTAAAAGAATTGTTACCTACTCTCACTTGCATAGTCTGTTCCCCCGCCCTCACACTGCCTACCCTCCTTCCTTGAGACACAGTTTTATGTAGCCCAGGCTGCCTTTGAAGTCACGCTATAGCTGAAGATAACCTTGAACTCCTGAGCCTCCATTCTTCACCTCCTGGGTGCTTAGATTACACTTTTTTTTTAAAAAAATTAATTTTGTAATTTGACAATTGCATACATGAGTATAATATATTCTAATTACCCTCTACCATACACCTTTTCTTATCCACCTCCCATCCCTGTCACATACCATACACACACCCACACCCACACACCCCAATTCCTTTCCCAGATTCATGACCTCTGAGTTTGTTTGGGGGCCCATTTACTTTAATCGGGGCCATCTGTGTGACAACTGGCTCAGGACTTTCCTCTGGAAACTGGCGCAGTCAAAAGTGAACTGAAGCCACTGACTGCCCCCTCCCTGGATCTACCGGTAACACATAATTCAGCAGGTACACAGGCATCAGGCCAGCACCACATGAGCCAAGTAAAGAGAAATCCTATTGTAGTAGGCCTCCCCTACTCATGACTGTCACAAATGACCTGACAAAAGCAGCTTAAGGAAGGAAGAGTTTATTTTGGCTTACAGTTTGAAGCGATACAGTCCATCACGGTGGGGGAAGTCATGGCAGCAAGGCTCGCAGTCAGGAAGCAGAGATGAATTTTGTATTCCACTCTGTCCTTTTTATTCAGTCTGAGACCCCCAACTCATGGAATGGTGCCGCCCACATTTAGGGTGGGTCTTCCCTCTTCAGTTAAACTTCTTTGGAAGCCCCTTCATAGAGTCTCATCCACAGTTGTGTTTCCAGGGTGATTCTGAATCCAACCAAGTTGACAATCAAGATTAACCATCACTAATCTACCCCTGGCCAACCTGACACCTGAACACATCACTACATCATAGCATTCCACCTCTGGCCCCTAAATTCTCATTTTCATCTCATACTCCAAAATGCATTTAGTCCTTCTCTAAAACTGCCCATAGTCTTTAACAGTCCCAGCAGTGTTAAACAGTCCAAAGTCTTATCTGAGACTCAAGGCAATCTCTTACTTGTAAATTTCTATAAAACCAACAACTTACAAAGTTTCAACATACAATGGCAAAGAATAAACATCCCCATTCCCAAAAGGAAGAATGAGGAGTACGACAAGGAAAGATGAGACCAAAGAAAAGACCAACACCTAGCAGAGCAAACACCAAATCCTGCAGCTCTATGTCCAGCATCTGGAGCTCATGATGGAATCATCTGGGCTTCAAAGGGTTTTGGTAGTCCCAGCTCTCCAGCTCGGCCATTTGCAGCACACACAGCTTCTGTCTTGGGCGGCTCCACTGCAGTCTTGCATCTTCCCTCAGGTGAGGAGACACAGTTCTGGCACCTCCAACACCCTGGGGTCCACACTAAAGCTTGGACTTCATTTTCACATCTTCACATAATGGCTTCTCAGGGCTCACTTCCAGAGATTCCAACCCGGCTACACATTGCCTGGTCTCGGTGCTTTCTGGAACTCTAGTGCAAGTTTCCACGACCCCTTCAGTCTTGCATCTTTCACACCTGTATGCTGGTACCATGTGGGTGACATTGCAAAGTTCTGCTGTTACCTGGCCTCCATAGACTACAGGTATATTGGCGTTTGTGTGTAGACCACGGGGAAAGGCTTCCCTGGGTAACAGCTTTCCAGAAGTAGAAAATCCCTTCAGCAATAGTCTTAGTTTAGGATTTCTCCTTTCAAATGAATTAATGTTTTCACAAAATGGAGTGTTTATTAGGTGGGGTCTTGCTTTCAGAACACCTTCCCTAATATCTAATGCAGAGCACAAGATTTCTCTTCAATGCTGCTAATCTCTTGTAACAATTCCAGCGGCTTTCTCTGCATCTATCTTGCCTGTCCCTTTAAACTCATTCTGTTCCCCACCAAGCTGACACATCTGTCTTCTTTTGCCTCATTTGTGCTTTCCCTCACTGGAGCCCTGGATGACAGCAATAGCCAGTAAACAAGACACAGCCCGAATGCTAACCTATCCTCAGATTCCTTCCACCAAGCAAAGGAGTTCATTACTATAGAATCTAGCCACACTCAAGTTTCCAAGACATGTCACCGATGACATGGACTGATACCAGATTCTTTGCCAGATTATCACACAAATAGCCTGAAGCTCAATTCTCAACAGAGTCTCTTTTCCTCTCCAAAACCCCAAGAGCCAGATCTCCACTGTCCACGCTTTTCTTGGCATTTGTGTTTTCAAAAACAGCACCAGAATAGCATATTAAATTCTGCTTACAGCACTCTAAGACTTCTCTGGCTCAAAGTTCCAAACGCTTAGCTTTAAACCCGTTCCAAATGCCTATGACCCACATGGTCAGGCTTAACACAACAGCGCCACTTCTCAGTTCCAATGTTCTGTATCAGCTATGTTTGTGCTTGCGGTGACAAAGTACCTGAGAAAAGCATTGACTTTGGCTCCCAGTTTGATGGTCCAGTCCATTACGGCAGAGAAGGCACAGCAGCAGGAACATGAAGTCACTGGCAATACATAGGTATTACACATGGAGTCAGGTAGTAGTAGAAAGAAATGAATGCTGGGATATCACTTACTTTCTCCTTTTCACTGCATCAGGAACCCCAGTCCATTGCATGGTGCTGGTCATATTCAAGATGGGTCTTTTCTCTTCAGTTAAAACTTTTCTGAAATGGTATCATAGACACACCCAGAAGTGTGTTTCCACGGTAATTCTAAATCCATTACATTGACAATTAAGATTAAAAAATCATATCTACCAAGACCCTGGAGGCTGCTCCAATCAGTCTCCACAAACCTGAATCTGTTAGCAATTAATTGCAGAAAGGAAGATGTCTACACTCAGGTGATCTAGAGGTAGTGAATCTTAGTAGTCAGTGATGCACAAGGCACTTTAATGGAACCATTTCTAGTTAAAAGTCCTTGAGTCTCCTGTTCTTCATGAACAATGGCCTTTCGAAATTAAAGTCAACTGAGCTGAGACATAAGAGAAGACAAGTGCTAATGTTTAATGCTTTTGTGACATCGGTATCCTTTCTAGTCATTTGGACCTCTCTAAACCATAGAGGGGGAAGGTATGCAAAAGAGTAAAATGAAGGTTAAAAGGATGACTGCAGATGAGCTGGTAAACTCGGAGAAGGATAAATCTGTGTTGGGCCCATTAGGGCCCACAAAACAGCCACAAGTTGGCACAGAGTCACAGTGACGTCTCATAACCACCAATAGTCATGATGCAAAGAGAGGCCAAAGCAAAAAAGGGAGGGACAAAAGGGTACAAAGGGAAACAGAAGTTGTGAGCAAAGGTTACCCCACTGTTGCCCTGCAATAAAAAGAACGGGGAAGGCCAGAGCAAAGCTTCTCTTGCTTCTTTCAAACAAAACTGGCAAAGCTTTATTTAGATCACCCAAAATAACATTTTATAGAAAAGGAACTATAACATTACATAGCAGAGGATGGCTGTAAAATCTCAAACAAGACAGGCAATGCTTTATTTAGAGCAAGAAAAATAATGTTTCTGAGATAGGGAACTGCTACAAGCGAGGCACAGCTGCAAGTTCTCCTTTGCCATCAGTATCAATTCCCCCTAAAAGACTTTGAGCATACTTGGTGGTTTCCAAGCACAAGCTAAGATCTGTTGAACAGAAAACAGTTTTCAAAACCATTTTGTTTAACATTAACAAACAATCAAACAATGTGCTTCTTGCGAACAACCAACTGCAATGGCTACCAGAACAATGTTGAACCTAAGTATACGTTCATGAACGTTTCCCTATGAACACAGCTATGGCTGTTTTTATCCTGCTAGCACACACAGCTTGTGCAGCAGTGTTACTTTGGAATACGTTCAGGCACCCAGGAAATAATCATTACATTAAAAAATCATTCATTCATTCATTCATTAATTAAATCGACCCCGACAGGCATGGACCACCATGCTGAGCTCAGAAAGTAATTCTTAACAGAAATAACAGTATGTGCGCAACTCAAACAACAGAGCCTGCCCCTGTCAGAGAAACCCCGGGGGAGGTCCACCATCTCATTAACACTTCACCTGGAACCTAAAATACAAAGCCACATAGTGCAGCTATTTTTTCCAGAATGAGGAAAACTTTAATAAATTGCCCTGGGGTTCTTGGTGCTGTAGTGTGCCTCACAGGCAGCAACATAAGCTGACTCCGGGAAGAAGTCATCATGGTATTCTGCTAAAAACCTAGAGAAAGCAAAAGAAAGGCACTAATGAGCACCATACAAAGAACTGAACACCCTGAAGATAAGTATTAGCTTTCAACCAGCTTTCACATTCCAACTTGTTTGTGTACTGGGAAGAAAACATGCTTCTAGTCTTGCTTCTACTTGATTACTTCCACAGCACCCACTGAACTAGTTCCTGTCAATCACTACGCATCCGAATCTCTTCATCATCAGTGTTACAGAACAGAAAACAGAACCTGAACTTGATTAGGTGGCAGTCTGATTACATACATGCATTTGTGAAAAATAACCTCAATAAGTATTTCCTGGTTTTCAAACTCTAAAAATAATACATGGCAAATGCAATAAATGTCACTTAAGAAATTCATAGAGCTTATACAAACTAAGTTACACCAAAACTGAACCAAACCACCAATACCAGCACTTTGGATACTAATTTGCCATACCAAGAGGTTAGTTGTAAGTCTGGATGACAGTACCACAACATGCCAAAAGACTGGTATGTCTGCAGATGGCTGGTAAAAAGTGGCAAGTCACTTAAGAATCTGCAATCCCTGATGATGGGATTCCAAGTGAGAGTCATGCCTGGCGGCTCAAGCCTATAATCTAAGCACTTGGAACTACCTTGTGATACCCCATCTCAAAAACAAAACAGCAATAAAACAAAGCAAACAAACCCACCAGATAGAAAACAAAACACGTTCCAAGTAAATTTGGACAGCTGTGAGTTCTGCCATGAAGGACTTACCCTGCTATCTCCCACCTGTCCAGATTCCTAAAACTGTTCCACCTCTCTAAATAAGAAACCATTGTCAAAAATTACTTGACAGCTAAGTGCTTTTTTTCTGTTGGCACCTTCCTGAAGGTCATTGTTTAGTTCGCTGATTTGAATTGCTGCCATTGTCTACTTTTTTTAAAAGACGATTTTTATTTACTCTTTGACAATTTCCAGCAACAGACCTTGATCACATCAAACCCCAACCTCCCCTCTCATACCTTGGATACATTTTTAAAACCTTTTCCTATGTTTATTTATAAAGCCTATGTTATCTCCTAAAGTCCTAACTTCTGCTTTATGTGAGGAATACTTCAAAATCCACACGCTTCCCTGTACTAACTAACTTGCAGTCTCGACACCATTTGCTTGCAGTGCAGAAAGTTTTATGTTAAACAGAATTCTGGGTTTGTCTGAAGGGGCATTTGGGAGAGAAGAGAGTATTTTTAAAACTTGTTTTCAGTAAAATGTTGGAAAGTCTAATTATTTTCAAGGACATGTTATTCAAAAAGCCCTGTAAGAAAATACCTTTTCAAACTTTAAGACTAACTTCTCTGGGTAGAGTACTCTCTACTCTTGAATATCCTAGATCAGTCAGAATGGGGCCCAGTAGAAAGAAAATGGCTCCTTTTAAGGTCTAGTAGCTAGGCTGAGGTGGGTGAGGCAAGGTGAAGACCAGCCTTGAAGGATAAGGTAAGGACATAGCTAACAGACATCTGGATGGAACAGTGGGACTAACTGGACAATGGAATAAATATGGGCATTAGATCCACAGGTCAAATATTCTATTAGATAAGAAAATGACTAGCTATATCAGGTGAAGAAATCAACTCCTTTCTCTGAATTCATAAATATCAGCACATACTTGGAGACATCTGTTATAGTTCTAGGCTAATATTCAAGTTAATTTAGGTACACCCAACAAAAAAGGGCACTGGCTATGGTACTCCTAAAGAAAAAAAATGTAAAATTAATGTAAATCTTAAGTACGTCTACATCAGAAAATTCATTTTCTGCTTACAAGGTTATCCAGCTGGATTCTTCTAGTGACATGAAAATGTACCACAGTGTCCTTGACTCAGAAACTGGAGATATGAAGGCTAAAAGAAACATGAAACTAACAAGCAAACAAACCAAAAAATCCCTTCCTACTTACCCTATCAGTCAGTACACACCACCACCACCACCACCCAATATGGAAAATACCACAGAGCTACCTTCTGTGTGTGCTAAAGTTAAGCCTAGAAAAGTCACATTTGCTGGCAGAGGTAGGTGTGACAAGGTAATAAAAATACCTCAGAAAGAGATCAAAGTGCTTCAGTAAAGCCTTCAGATTCTTCTCAGAGAAGGACATCTTCCCAAGGATTTCTGGAAGTTTTACTGGATTAAAAACAAAAGCATATGTAGTCAGCAGAAGGTTACAATGGACAGGACCCACTGTGGGATCATCTGGGTTACTCTTTCCCCTTCGGGGACTGAAATTAACACCTATATAATCAAACAGTAAGTTACTGAACAAAGTAGAGTGGGAAGTCAAGTATTACAAGCCCAACTTTTATGAAATTTAAAGTACACCCAATGCCTTTTCTTTGAAGAGGAAACCAGCTATCCACATTTGTGAGATGCTTATAAGATATCCAAGGGTTAAAAAAAGAGCCAAGCAATATGAGGCTGCTAGGCTGAGAGCATCATGAGACCCCACTTCCCTTCCATAATTTATAGGATGTGAATGGTTGTTAGGAGGGAGAGACATTTTCGTCAGTGATGAAGCCACTGGTAAACTGCTCTTGCTTCCTTCCTCACCCACGCACCTATAAACAACTGTAACGAAACTCATTAGTTGGGGTACACACACACACACACACACACACACACACACACACCATGGAAATAATAGGATGAATAGTAGGGACAAGAGAGGTAATGGGGTCGTGACTATGATCACCATGTATTCTATACGCATATGAAAATATAGTGAAAGCCATTATTGTAAATAATAGATGCTAATAAAATGAAAACTGGAAAGAAGACATAAAGAACAGGGATTCTTACCAAATAATCGCAGTAAATGCTGTGCACCATAAATGTATGAAGGGGGAGGTGGCTGGTCTCCTGGCGGATAATTGTCAGGCACAAGTTTCCAAGACAGGACCTACAAAAAAAACCCAAAACAAACAACAACAAAAAAACACCATATGAATGCTTCCTTTACTCCAAATGGAGACACTTCTAGATACCTAAATATTATGACAGTAAATCATATGGAAAGAATGAAACCATATTGCTACCTAATAAACACCAGCTTATGAAAATAAATGTGAGGGCCAGAAGGACGTAAAATTAGATAAAGAAGATACTGGAATTTAAACTTCTCAGCATCTATTATCATCTGGGGAGACATTCCATAACGGTGGGGAAGGCATACAGGCAGGATCAGAAGACTAGCTGCTCACACTGTGTCAAGTCAGGAAGTGAGCAGGGAACTAAAGGCTTGGCCCCGTGATCCGTTTCTTCCAGCAAGCCTCACTTCCTGAAGGTTCCACAGTCTTCCCAGACAGCATTACCAGCTGGGGACCCAGTGTTCAAACACACAAGCCTCTGGGGGACATTTCATATCCATACTACCACAGTCACTGAGCCCCTTTCCCTTACACAGGAAACACTAGCAAGAGTGTCAAGAGTCCTTGTTTCCTTGCTATCTAAGTCATTATGGAAACTAACTTGAATCATCTCAGAGTGCCAACCTGGTAATTGGTTTCTTTGCCTTTACTCTGATTTTCAGAACTATAGATGGACTTGGGGCTTTGCTTAAAGCGAGAGCTGTCTTTCAGAACTCTCTGATGAGTTTCCCCAGCAGTACCTTCGTCAATCAACAAACCCGCTTTCAGTATAGGGGATGTCTAATCTATTAACAAGGAAGAACCAATGTTGCAGGAAATCCTCTATGAGAAAAAGCAGAAGGGGGCCCACCCGCAAAACATTAGAAACGCTGGCACAGCTGACCTGAATAAAGAAACTAGACATTCACAAGTGCTGTGGGACTCCAGGATGAAGGCCCCAGCTTCACGTCAGCTCCTCGCAGCCTTCATGTAGATTCCCTATCTCATCCTTGGCAGCCAGGACTGTCTGTCTGCACACCCACCAAGCATCTAACCCATTTCCCACAGCGGAAACTGAGAACTGCTTCAGCAGATCAGAGGGCACAGATAGGCATTTGTAATTAGTAATGAGAACCACCTGTGCATCTTAACCAGCAAAGGTGTCATCCAGACCCTTCCCTAGTACAATCGGCAGCTGGTAATAGGAGAAAGGGACAGAAAGGATTTGGATAAATAGTCCTGGTTAAAACCCACCATGGAAGGAGTCCTTGAGGTCCTTAAAGTCACTATGGATTGTTGAGTCCCCTAGAGCCTGCTAAACGCCAGTTTACCACAAAGCAGTCTGCTCTACCATTAACCACTAGATGGCAGCACTGACTTGAGTGGAAATGGTCTTTACCTCACTGCTCTTTTTTTGGAGAAGAGTGGAGGGAGGGGAAACTGCCAGGTCAGGCTATATATGAGCAAAGAACAAAAATTTAAAAAAAAAAAAAAGAACTACCATTTCCCTTAAACACAAAGCCTGTAGTGGCAAGGCTGTTCTCAGGCATTCAAGATAATGGGCTTAAAGTCTAGCCCAATGCTGGCATTCAGTATGCTTTCAAAGAGATGGCTATGAGGGTTACTATCCGTGGAGGAGAATCAGATGGCAAAAATGAGTCAGCAACTACACCCTGCTGCTCACATCTCATCCAACTGCTTGATGCTTATTTCTATATTACCCCAAAACTGTTTATGCCTTTTGTTGAGGGTTGGACTGCTCAACTAGGAGCCTTTTCCTCAGACCCTGATGTAGGGAGAAGGAAGACAGTTTCTCCTCTAAAATAAGGTATGGCTTCAGATCCTGAGAACCCAACTCTTCCCACTACGAGAATTATGGTTATCAGTCTCAAGGCCGCTGTGTACTCGGTCTGTAATGCTCTTGAGATAGCCTGTACTCCATTTGTGCAACACTGGTGGATTAGCTTCTCACTACCTTAGTCCACTGTATGACCGTTTCGGCTGACTCTGTCCCACTATACTTCTTAATGAGCTTGTGTGGTATGACACACAGCCTTTGAAAGACCTTCCAACCCCAAACTTTCTTATTTTCTCTATATTCTATCCTCTTTATCTTCTGGATCTCCTGGTCCTCTCTCTTAGGACCCACCACCTAAGAATTACCTACTGGTCTAGGTTACCTTTAAATGATTTAAAGCTAAAAGAATATTTTTAGCCCTTGCATATCATATACTGTTCATATTTCAGTGTCCACAATAATGGTTTATGGAAACACAGAACATCTATCTCATTTACATATTGTTTGCTACTTTGCAGTTGATTTAGTCTTAATAGGCATCACATGGCCCACAAAACCTAAACCATGTACTCTCAGACTCAAGAATAAAAGTATTGCTGTGTTATACAAAATGTAAATACAAGTCTTTCTACAGCTGAATGATCTTTAGGGTAAAAGTTCATTATACTTGTAAAGCTGGAGTCCCGGCAGTTTCCTCAGATTTGAAACCAGGAACAGACTATTAAACCGAATCCTCTCTATCCTTTTGCTGCTATTCTTTTGTAAAGCAACATAATACTTGAAGAACTTAGGACTGTAAGCAACCACAAAGGGTAAAAGAACCTTTGGAGTTGAACACCCAGCACTCTACCTCATTTATTTCATTGGTTCTTCTCCCTTCGAAGCCAGCAAATACAGCACTTCCTTCCTTACTTGGAGTCAGAGGAATGGGGGAAGATGATCTGCTATGCACAGGCGTCTCTGCCAAAGAGAAAGTCGCAATTATTTACCCATAAAGTCTCAGAGTGACTGAACTAGAGACACTCATTAGGACCCGGATAAACACTAGACCACAAATCTAAATCAGTTCTCAAAAGCTACAAACCTTTAGCAATATGACCTTCATCTTATCAAAAAAATAGCACCTGGAATATCATTTTTAGCATGCTACTGATACATGTTACCACATGAGTCAACCTTGAAAAGCAAGCTGAAAGGGGCCCATCACAGAGCCATGTATTGATTCCATTCATATGTAATATGCAGAACAGGAAAATCCAGGGACAGAAAAGGAGATTCATGGCTCTAAGGAGGTGTGGGTGGGGTGACTGCTAATGGGTATATGGCGTTTCTTGGGGAGAACTGACCATGTTTTGGAACAGATTGTGATATGGTTGCACAACTCTGTCAATACATTAAAAGCCACTGGATTGGACACTTTCAATGGGAAAACAGTAAGGTAGGGCCACTAAATTAGTCACTTTAAAATGATTAACTTGGACGGGGGAGATGGCTCAGAGGTTACAAGCATTGGATCCTCTTCAATTGCCAGCACCCACAGGGCAGCTCACAATTCTCTCTAACTCTAGTTCCAGATTAGACCCGACAGCCTCTTTTGGCCTCTGAGGGCACCAGGCATCCCCATGGTACACAGACATAGATGCAGGCAAAACATCTATCCACAAAAATAAATCTTAAAAATTCGGTTAACTTTATATGTGATTTTACCTAAATAAATATTGCCAAGAACAAACTGGAGTAGGATGGAAGTCGGAGAAATATCACTTCCTTTTATCATTATTTATTTATTATTCATTTTATTTTCTAGTTAAACCATCCCAGTTTTCATTCCATCAACTTATTAATCATGGACATACATTTTACATTATTCAGTTTTCATAAAATGTTCCAAATAAACAACTCTGAAGTGCCAACTAGATTGGTAGTTTCCACGGTAGGTAGAGAAGGGCAAAAGAATGGTTGCTGATGTATGTAGGATTTCTTTTGTTCTCTGATGAAAATGTCTGAACTGATTTTGGAGATGGCTGCACCATTCTAACTATACTAAAAAAAATCACTTTGAATAGTAAATTTTTACAGCATATGAGTTATATCTCCAAAACTCTGCTAAAACCAGCCTCTGATCTGAACACTTTGTTCAAACCGATGTTTTACAGGTAAGTTTTGAAAACAGGAACAGAAATGTAACACTCTACTAGCACCATTCATCTTGAATATTCCAATAACTCCACCAGCTTACAAGAAGTAGCAGAGAGGGAGGGTGAAAGGCAACCTTAAACACAGAGCCCGGTCCTGCCTCCCCAATCTGCAGAGCTATCTATCCTAGCCAGTTGCCTCCTTAGCTTCCCATGGATGTTCTACTCTTCTTCAAAGATTAGAGCACTTGGGTGAGGTCCCAGGAACAGCACGTACTTAATACACACTTAGGGGGCCTAGGAACAAAGGAAAAGGTAGCTTTCCCCGGCCTGGGGACCTTAGAGCAACTCACTCTTTTCCAAGTGCAGAAACAGCTTCGGCATGTTGGCAGATGTGTCCTGCTGCCGGCGCTTGGGCTGAGGTGAGGAGCTACTCTCAGATAGCCTGTCACAGTTGGTGCTGTGGCGAGTGGAGCGCCTCAGAGACTGCAGGGCTTCTGGATCCGCTTTGCGCCTCTTGGGGGTGGCTGGCTCACCACTAGGTGGCTGACTCTCTGTGGACTGTGGTGTGGATGGGTTCAACAAAGGCGGGCTAGGAGACAGCTCCTCCTGGCTCCTGGGCAAGAAGGACAGAGTCACTGGAAGCCTCTAAAGTTTTCTGCAAGGCCTCCCAAAGGCAGATTCACAAACCAGCTTGGAGGGAGGAGCGAATACATATCCCCACATATACTCAACACACATTTTTCTTAAACAGTCCCTAAATAGATGAGGTCACTATAACTCTGCAAGGCCTGCTGTTATTAGAGACTAGAATACCTCTTCTATATGTTTTAGAACAAGAGCTTTTGGGGGTGGGGGTTGGCCCTAGCCCAGAAAACAATTGCCAGAGTCTGGTGATATTGTAGGGTTGTCACAAATGAGGGCAGGTATATTGTTATCTAGTGGATAGAGACCAGAGTTACTGCTAAGTGTCCTACATCACACAGGATGGGCCCCAGGTCAGAGAAAAGTCTGGTCTAGGGAATAAGACTATCACACAATGTCTTCAAAACGTAAAAACTGCCAGGATGTGAAAATGGCACAAGCATGTCAAAGTCTACCCCGGACTCTGGGAATCATCAGGTGTGAAGTAGACCATTTATGACTTCAACACAGGTCCCCAGTGAGTTTTGCTGGCTCTTGCCTGAAGTAAAAGTGACATGAGAAAAGCAAGAGAGAGAAGCCACCAAAAAGAGACAGTAGAGAGGCAGAGAGTGAGTCAGGAACCATAAAAGAGAGGGAGAAAGAGAGAGACACACAGAGAAAGAGACAGCGACAGAGACAGGAAGAAGAAAGGCAGCCAATGCAGGGCACAGGAAATGAGAGTCTAGCAAGATAGCTGTAGATAAGAGCAGATGCTGAGTGGTTTAACATAGAGGGATGCTACTTTAGTGCTAGAAAAAACTCGGTCCTCTGGGCATGGCATGATCACTGCCCTCTTGGAATCGGATCAGCTGTGATGACCCCCATGAGATGCTCATAACCACTAACATTCCCTTGTGAAAGGTGGTAGGGCTCAGAAGGCACACAGAGACCTCCCCCTTTGTGAGGATACTTAAGCAGTTAATGGGAGAGGAAGGCTCTTCTTCAGTGGTGTAGTTACCTGTAAGTAGCACATGTTCCTTCTAGCTAGCCCCAGGTAAACTCATTCACTCTCCAAGCTAGACTTGAAAAGAACGGGTTTTTACTCTCATATACAACGTTCAGGAAGAGAAGAGAGAGGGCATGGCAGAATGCCTGAGACAGATGAAGGAAGGGAAAAGACTTTAGGTGAGGATGGACCCATCCTCACACCCACTGCCAGAGCAGAGAACAAAGCCTGCCTAGGCACAGAAGGCAGAAAAGCAGTCATGAGAGAAAAGTAGGGAACTAAGCTATACTCAGGGCCAAAGGTTGCTGGTCCCTTGCAAACAATATCATGAACTGCTACCCACCAGGGAGACAGACATTCATTCCATACTACAGCTGTGAAGGCAAGAGGCTCAGAAAAAGCTGCCCCAAATCACATAACAGCAAGTGAGGGATGTCAGCTGCACCTTCACTTTCCACCCTTCTGGCCCATGTTGCTTCTACCCTCTTCCCTGTCTTCTGAAAGATGGGACAGCTGCTCAGACTCCATTGATAAAGTTCTATCTACTCAGGAATCTTTTGTCTGTCCTGGTCTTGCTATGTAGTCCTGACTAACCTGGAATTCCCTCTACAGACCATCTGTCTCCAAATTCATAGCAGTCCTCCTGTCTCAGCCTCTTGGATGCTAGGATGACAGGCATGTGCCATCATGCTTGACTACCCTGGAATGTTTACTTGGGAAAAATCTTTCACAACCATGAGAATGTGAGTGATGATCTAGCTTACCCATGAATAAAAAGGAAGTACCAGTAAGAACACCCAATGTTTCCCTTCCTCCAAACATTCCGGCCCCCATAGCAGCAGATGAAATACTTCCAGAAAGACATTAGCCATGCCAGTGCTGACACCTGAGGGGGAAGGCACACTTCCACGTTGTCTAACTCACCTATTTGTTGTGGTGGTACTTTCCTTAATAGGAAGAAAAAATTTAGACGATGTCACCTTTTTATATTGAGCTTGTTCATATGGGTAGAGCAAAACCAACGGGAGAGTATAATCAAAGGTAATTCGTAGTCCATCCACCATCTCCTTACAAAGGTCAACACTAGGAGGATTGAGAAAGAAAAGATTAGAGGCCAGAGACTTGGTAAAGTCACAGGTATTTTCCAAACTTCGCAATGAAGGTGTACATTTTTAAGAGGGAAGACTTACCTTTATTTTTATTTATTTATTTATTTATTTATTTTGAGGCAGGGTCTCACCATGTAGCCCTGGCTGGCGTGGAACTCACTATGTAGACCAGGCTAGCCTCAAGCTCACAGAGCTCTACCTGCCTCTGCCTCCTGAGTGCTAGGATTTAAAGGCATGTGCCACTCAGCTGAAGAGGGAACAGGCTTTTAAAACTTTATATATTCACTAACATATAGAAAGAATGAACAATCTATAGATGCTAACAATGAAAAAATAGGGAAATATAGGTCCTAATATAAAATGCAGGCAGTATGCAAATAACTTAAATGTATCCATATAACACAGATGAACAGGTTTAATATAACATGAGGCGTCCCAGCAGCCTGTTTCAACTGTAATACTCTACCTCCCTAACACTGGTCCTGCCAAGTCATGAGGGTATAGTAGGGTTTGAGAAACTCCATTCGACTAGAATAGAGCCTTGTTTGGGGCTGGGAAGGTGGCTCAGCGGGTAAAAGTGCTTGCTGTACAAGCCTGACGACTTGAGTTTGGATCCCCAACATCTACTTAAAAGCTAGATGCAGTAGTGCACAACTCTGTAATCCCAGAGAGCCTGTGGGGAGACAAGACACCAAGACAGGCAAATCTCTGGAAATTCAAAGACTAGCCAGAGTGGTGTGCCCAGCAGTGAACACCACCAGAGACTGTCCTACACAAGGCAGAAGGCGAGGATGTACACCAGAGGTTGCCTTCTGAACCTCAGATGTGTGCCATGGCACACATGCACTCAAACACATACATACATAAATTAATTTTAAGAAATGACCAGTCATAAGCAACCTTTGATCCAGTTCTCATTGCCCATTCTGCTTCCTCACGTAGACAGTTCTTGTCCAAAGTGGTATCCCTGAAAATCTTGGTCTTGGTGACAAGGTAATGCACAATCAAGCCAGGTCTCATGCGGAATTATCAAACACTTCACAAAAAATCACAATGGTTTCATATTCTACTGACAACTGAATGAATAATCAGCCAATCAGCTACGAAATAAGAGATGAATTCAATAAAACGGAACAGAGAAAAGGATCCATTGTTCTAAACTGCAATACACACAAAAAAAGCTGAGGGTATAGATGAGTGGAAGAGCATTTGCCTAGCATGCTTGAGGGTTAAGTTCAATCCCCGTACCACAAACACACACACAACCAAAACTAAACAAAATACCTAACAATAATAACAACAAAACCAAAACCAAGGAAAGACTCCAAAGACTCAATACCCCAGTTACTCACTTCTTTTCTGCCGGGACATAGTGCACATTCATGTGTGCATGCATCATGGCATGATGGTGACGAGGCCTCTCATTGGCTGAAAAGGCTGCATTAATAGCAAAATGCTTCACATAGGATTCCAAAATTGTTATGATGTTGGTCTGGCATGGAAGTTTCACTAACTGTTAAGAAAAATATAATCATCTGATACTCACATTCCATTATAATCAGACATATATTCCAAGCAGGAATAGCTAAGGCTCTATCAGTTTAATGTTCTCAATTCTGCTCAAGAACTTCTTAAATAAATATGTCTTGAAGCTCTTTGATAATCCTTCCTTCCACTGATCATGGTTGCATTCTACTACAGTCTTACTGTTTTGAATACACAGAAGTCGTGATCCTCAGGCTTAGCATTCTATTGAAAAATTTGGGGAAACCTCTCAAAGTATAGCCAAGAGAGGTGCCCCTATCCCACAAATTAAACCCAATCTATCAATCTTATTCTTGTATAAAATTAGAGGGACCAGCCTTAATAGTATACATCCCAGGGGCTCAAGAGAGAGAACTACTAACGGCGAGGACTATTTTCGGGAAATAGAATCTCAGCACACCGAGCTCTATAGTCCACTTGCTTTAATTCCTCTGGCATAACATCCTAGATACACAGTTTCAGTTCTGTTCTTGTGCCTAGCTCCTTTCTTGCCTGATTTTTCTCTATAAATTTATCTATTGTTCCCTCTAAGTTCTATCTTACTTCTCTCATCTTAATTCTGCCTCATCTAGGTCCTTTTCACCTTGTTCTTACCCAGCTAGTTCTTCCCCATCTGACTCTTCCTCATCTTCCGTCTCGTTCCTCTAGTCCTCTCTTCTAGCCCTTCAATCTAGTTCTTCCCCATCTCAGTTTGTTCCTCTCAAGTTCTTACCCATCTAGTTCTTCCATTCTCTTTTCTCTTTTCCATCCCCTTGTGCCCTGGAAGTCCCAGTGTGTATACACACACACACACACACACACACACACACACACACACACACACACACACACACTTACAAGCAGTAATCCCTTGGCAGTGCAAAGCCAGGCTTCCAGGGTCAAATGGAGGGGTGATAAGAATCACATAGCGAGGCAGTAACTGTTAATTATCATTTGCAACCCAAAAGGGAAGTGACTAATGGGGAAATGAATTAACTAAAGGCTAAATTTGGGTAATATCTAGGAAGAGGGATCTTATGTGCTCACTATAGTCTTAAACGTGATTGGTAGAAAAATGTTAAGACTCTGTAAGTTGCTAGGTCAATGGGAAAAAATAAAACTGTCTCCTTTTTTCCTGTGGCTCCTATCTGTCCAAGCTATCTGCCGTTTTTTCTGCAGGGTGGGGGGAAGTGTGCTCGGTCGCTAGGCAACCTGTGCACAGCTAGATGCCTCTGGTGATAGTTAGAGGGAGATCTGGAGCTAAGGTAAGGTTTGGGAAAGGAGGAAGTAAGGTTTAATTGGCACATCCGCCAGGCCTTCTCACACAGGTAGTCTGGATGCTTAAGTCTGTACTTAGAGAGTACAGAGGTATCTCTGATAAGGTACTTTCCTCCATCTGGGGATGGACCTGGCCGGATGCTGCCAATGATGATAATTACAGGGAGGCTTGAACTGGGGTTCGGGCTGAGCAGAGCTGTTAGTGCAGAAAGTTATCTAAATATTCCTAGAAGTGATTAGGTAAAGAGTTAGAGGTCTATAAAGTTAGTAAGGCTGTAAGAAAGGAGCATCCGAGCTAAATTTTGTAAAGCTATTACTTAAAATCCACCTGACCTAGGTGGTGTCTCCTTGTGGAATTTATCTTAAATCAGGAGACTTGCATGTGAGCTGTTATTACTGCTAGTCCTTGAAAGTGGCTAAGGGAGATATCTGATTCCAGAGGAAGCTTTTCCTGAGGCTGTTCTCCAAATACCTTGAATGTGTATGTCCAGGGAGTGATCAGTCCACATTGTTAGCCCTTCTTAGGGAAAAATCAATTGGGAAAACTATGAAGGCACACATGATTTTCATAACAGAATACAGCTGATATATAACAAGCCAAATAACACCAAAAGCGCCTTGGAATTTGGCTTCTTCTGGAGGAATTCCTTGATCCCTCCAGGTAGTGACTTTGCCATAACCAGCTGAGTTCTTATGATATATTCCTGCAGTCCAAAGCATCTTATCACCTCTCTTTTTGAAACAGGGTGTGTTGTGTCACTCTGGCTGTCCTGGAACTCTCTATTTAGAGCAGGCTAGCCTTGAACTCACAGAGATCTACCTGCCTCTATCTACCCTCCCGAATGCTGGGATTAAAGGCGTGCGCCATCATTCCTGGTTTAAATCCCAATCTTAGTTGAAGCCCAGGTATCAGAATTCTGGAAAGCCCCTTGAAGGACTCAAATGGACAGCATAAGGTATACAAGTCTTAAGTTATGCAAGAACCCAGCACCATTGGTAGTCAATTTTAGAACTGGATCAAGTACAAAATTGGAAATGAAACTACCATCCCTCCACACTGCCCAGTGTTTGACACTGTGACCACAAAATGCAGCCAAGTAGAAGCACCCTGAACAATCCATTCCTCCAGCATACCCGTTTCCTCCTGTTGATATAGTAACAGTCATCTTCAAGCTGCTTCTTGAGAACTTCAGGGATATCTATGGTTATTGTTCTTTCATCCATGTCCTTTCTTGAGCGCAGCGACAATACTTTTTTTTTCTGCAATATCACAATTCCATTTTTAATTAATGAGAACAACGGGAACAGCTACCACGTAAGGGTCTGCTATGCAACCAAGCTTGTTTATTCGCAACAGTCACATCATGCCACATGTTCTCTATTAAAACACAAAGACATAAAGATAGTATGCCAAGTGTTCAAGTGCTTTTCACAGCATTAACTACATTGCAAAGTCACTTTTGTTTCTTTCTCATTTATGATTACCATTGGGATTTATGCCCAATTTGGAGGAAAGCAGAAGCCAATCTCTGTTATGCACCATTAAAAATTAATCATTAAAAAATACAGTTCACAATCTTACTTAAAAAAAGATGATAATTTGTGGAAACGTCTGCGGGTATAAAGAGTAGATGATGCTCACACAGCGACTATAAACAAAGGCTGTCTTTTCTTTAAATGTCACAGAAAATTCATAATATTGGTCTGAAAAGGTGTATCTTTTGAAAAGAGTTCCTAACCTGAAAATTTTGCCACTACCATATATACCAAAGACAAAGTTTCTACAATAAAAACTTCAGTACCGCTTTAGTCTTGACTTTAATACGACGCTGGCGATGTTCTTTTATTTCTTCCTTCTTTTCTCCACAGCTTTCATGACAGGTACTGCTTATTGCTATGTAAAACAAAAACATCAGGCAAACACACATTATATACTTTGACAATCCTTACCTTTACAAATTTTTAGGTGGCGCATGCACTTGACTAAGAAGAATGGTCTGCAGTTCTGCATACATTTTAAATCCTAAACACAAATACTGTACCTTTCGGAACAGAAACTTATTTTGATAAATATAACTCCAATTTCAATGGATACAAAAATCACACGAGCTAATGATCTGAAAGTGTTTCACCAGCTAGGATCCTATGGTTCACTGTTGGATTCATAAGTGGTGGCAAGGCCCTGGAGGTATCAAGAAGAAAATGGACTGTGAGAAAGGATCTGTGCGGGCTTGCTGGCTGAGATGAAGGTGGTCACTGGGAAGACTCCCACAGAGGCTTAGACTGCCATGCTGACTGGTCATATTGACTGCTACTGTAATTGTCTAAAATAAACCGAGTGCATGTTACAAAGATGCTCCTTCCCTTATGATGGAGTTATACCTAAATTGATGAAAATACAGGTAGCCTATTGAATATCATAGCTGACAACGCTAAATGTACTCAGAACACTTACATTAGCTGACAATTGGGCAAACTCATTGAAACAAAGCTTACCTTATGGTAGTATTAAATATCTCATGTATTTTATTGCATATTGTACTGAAATTGGAACAAGAAAATAGTATATTTTCATACCATCATAAAGTCAACAAAATCTTAAACTGGAGAACATCTGTACGTTATGAGTTTGCACTATTTCCCTGTCTATAATTTCAATGACTCTTTCTCTCAATCTTGGAGGTCTAAAAAGATTACATGAAAATGGTTTTAGTTAAGGAAAATAAAGTCAAGACACTCACAGTTTTCGTCATTTTGAGTTTTTTCTTTAATTGGCACAGTTTTTAAGACAGAGTCGACACCGGGCAACCTACAGCGCCTCTTCTTTCTTCCTGTACCTCTCCTGAAAACGATAAAAACAATTAAAATACAATTTCAGACTGGTATAGGAGTTGGACTCCACAGAGGACATGATAACTAATAATTCTTAAATCAAACTTTAAAATGCAGTGGCAATTCCCACTACCAGATGGACAACAATCATTCTGGAAAACATCTATGATTCTATAGAATACTATAGAAACTCTTCATTTACTTTAAATATGTAAGATTAATGAAATCTGTCATTTTATTACTTTTTATCATAAAAATCCAACACAGTAAAAAACATACTGAATAACACTTCCATCAAAGTTTTTGTATCCTTACAGGCGTGCTACTGCTTTTTTGGCCAATTTACGCTGTAACCTCCGATTTTCATCTGTATCACGAAGCACATGATCCTCGGCTGCCCATCTATCCCAACTAGTTGAGAAAAGGAAGAGGATGTAAGTCAGTATTTTGAAACAAATGAAATTAACTCTGAAAAGCATCCTGAAGAAGTGCCCCAGACTTGCTTACATTTTAGAAAGCCATATAAAGACTTCAAAATCACCAAGAGGGCATCAAGAAAGCACAAAGGAAACTCAGTTACACTTACTAGGATTTCCAGCGATTACTCACAGGTAATCCAAACATACATAACAGACTTTAAAGTAATTATGCCGCAGAATACGAAAGCTTTACGAACAAAGCAGAAGCAGGAAATTAAACTTTTCTACAAGTGTTTCTAAAACGTAAAGCTACAAAATTAGTATGCTACAAAGCCGATTAATATTTAGTTTGATTGTAACAAGTTCACTCACCTTCTGTTCCAACCATTAAAATGTATCAGATATTCTGGAATCTTTCTGCCCTTTTCGTCTTTCCCGACAATAACATCGACGATCTGAAACCAGGAAATACTGCTCACGAGTGGCACAACAATCCAAAAATTGTAAGTTAGGTCAAAAAAACTAGATCACAGTCCCTTTTTAAAGGAAAAGAAAGAACTCATTCCCTTTTTAGATTCGTTCCCTTTTTAGAGAGCAGGGTTGTAACATTCTTCAACATATTTTTTCCTTTGCCTGAGTGGTTGCCTCAAAATAGGAAACATCCGTCCAACCAACCCACGATTGGTCTCTTGAGTTTGAGACCGGGGTGAAGCTTCTGAAGCCATTGGTCGGTACATTTGTCATTAGCGAGGGCCCAGACTAGAAAGAGCAGCCCTGAGACCTCTGGGAGTTGTAGTCACCCTGGCCTTGCCTTGTCCAGTGTCCAGCCAAGCTAGCCAGAGACTTCCACAACTCTCTCCCATCCCCCCAATAGCCCTGCATCCCCCGAGGGGACATCTGGTACAAGTAAACCGGCATATCCCTCCCTCCCCTTAGGGCTGCAGCAAGCTGGAGGAATGGCCAAGGGATTTCAACAGTGATAAGAGTTGCAGGAGAGACCAAAGGTACATAACCCAGCCCAGATCTTGGGGTGGCCCACAGGATAGCACCATTTAAACATCGCTAAAGACGCACCTGGGGCTGTTCCGAGTTGTCTCCGCCACCAAGGACTTCGCCTTGGTGGCTGGAAACACTGACGCTCGCCCCGACCCCCAGCGCGCTGATTTTCACCCTCTTGGGGCTCGGGAGCACTTAGGTGCCCACTCAAGCCCACCACTTAGAAACTGAAAACTGCAAGATATCGCTCAGCCCCGGTTGACTGAGCTGGATATAGGCCGCACTGGATTCTTTCCTAGCTCTGTCGGCCCCCTACAAACCCTTCAGAAATTGCAAATGTCAAAGCGACTGAGCAACCCTGGGCCCCTCCCTCCCCTCAGGGTGACAGTTAAATGCCTCTGATCCTAAACTCGTCTCGAGTCCGGGACCATTATGTCACCAGCTGACAGCTGCCAATAACTGAGGCCAGGGTTGAGGGCTTGAGGATGTGGGTGGGTCAGTTGGTCAGGTGTCCTCGAGGGAGCCCACGCGGCGCTGAACCGCATCGGACAAGGAGAGACTTATCGCAAAAGCAGAGGCCTCAGGCGACAGTCCTCCTACATCAGGCGCCCGAATTGGCGCTCAGCGATCAGAGCGCCATCCAGGCCTAGCAACCGCGTAAGCGACGCGACACGACACGACACGATACGACACGACACGACCGGAAGCGGAAGCAGAAACGGAAGCGTCGTGGGTCCTTCCTAGTTAGGGCAGTTGAGCGCGTAACGCGTCTCGCCAGCGTCCCCTGCCGTCACGGGCCGCTCCGCGCAGGCCGAGGCGCACCCTGGTGGCTGTCCAGGGCTCCGAGCCACTTGTCCTCCTCGGGCCCCTTTGCCTCCCATCCCGGGGGCCCAGACCCGCGCCTCCTCCCTGTCCCCCCGCGGCGGCACCTTGGCATCGTACAGCACTCGCGCCTTGGTGGGGTCAGGCTCGAAGCACAGCACTTTCTCCCCAGAGTGGAATTGAAATTTCATGCCCTCGCTCGCGCTCATTTGCTCATCGTGGCGGAGGGCGAGGCTCCGGGGCGGGCGGAGCGCGCGCGGTGGGGGAGGACGGCCGGGGAGGCGGCGCTCCGCCACCGGGGGGGCCCGGGAGTGGCGGAGGCTATGACCGCCCCGCCCTCGGCCCCTCCTCCGGCCACCCCGCGCCACTGCGGGGACCTCGGCCGTGGCGATGGAAGCGCGCGTCCCCGCCAGGGCTCGTCCCCGCCTGCCCCCTCTGGGGCTCCGTGAGGGGTGCGGGCGGGGAGCAAGACCCCTCGACCGAGGTCTTCCTGCATAACGTCTCCTCTCGTCCCCATGGGCTAGGGTCCCCGAGGCTTCCAGGCTGCGCCCACGTGTGCGCGGGGCGGTCACCCCTGTCGCGCGCTCTCCGGCCGGAGCGTAGGGGTCTCTTAGGGAGACGGCTGCTCTGGGGTAGTCACCAGGCGCCGGGGAGGCTGGATGGCGTCTGCCCCCTAGAGCCTCCTGGCCGCGCGCACGCGTCAGCCCCCTCGGCAGAGCTGCGCGCCGATGTGTGTGGCCACGCGAGAAGGACGCGGTGTTGGAGCTGGCCGGAGTCAGGCAGTGGCCTTGGGCGAGGGGAGGAGACATTCCGGGCAGTGAATAGAACATTCTGTCATCCTTCCGAAAGGACCAGCAGGTAGCAGGCCTGAAGGCCCCAAGTGAGCAGTGGGCAGCTAAGCAGATGGGTCTTTAAAGGGTCCTTAACTTCTTATGTGTCAGTTTCCAGCACTCTTGAATTGCTCCCTCACGGTCTGTCTTCGGTGGCTCAAAAACCTCCCGAAGAGTGGAAGTACTATTGAGGCTGCTGTTAACAGGATACCTGCACAGAGGGGGTGTTCAGTAAATACTCCCTGAATGAATGGCCAGGGGATAGGAGACTTGCAGCATAGACCTTCAGCGACAGGGAGGGCGGTGCTGGCTGGTTTCTTTAGTAGTTACTGGATTAAGACCTGGCTAGAGAGCAGAGCATAACGCAGTGAGGTTAATCTCCGCAGTTTTAGTGAACTGCCTGGTTTCCCACTGTATTCTGTTCTTGCTTCCAGAAATTTGCACACCCCCGCCCCCACTCCTTTCCTCACCTGGTACAGAGCATACATCTTTCACATTTCCACATGGGCACTTCCAAGAGAACCCCCACCCCAGGCTTCCCGAGAGGATTCATGTACCCCTCCAGTGTTCCCTCCCAGCACTCTACTTACCTGTTTCTTGCATTTACTGCTTTGCTGTAGAATGGGTTGTTCATTTGCAAGATGCCCCCATTAAGATGGTAAGCTGCTTGAAGCTGGAGGTTGGGGGGTGTCTCATCCAGTTCATCATTGTATACTCCTGGCACACAATGAATATTTAATGAATGAATGAACAGGTTGCAGATTTATGAAGTCGAATCCACAAAACTCAGTTGCCAATTGGATATGAAGGAGGGGAGGGAATGAGGAATCTTGGGAGACCTCCAGGTTTTCTAGCATAAGGAGCTGAGTGAGTGATAGCTCCACTGGCCAGATAGGGGCTAGGAAGGAGGGACAGGTTTGAGGAAAATGGCCAAATGATGACTTGTATCTAAGCTAATATAGTCCATAAGCCAGAATTGAAACCCTGACTCTCCAGGGATGTGGGCAGTAGATGGTAGTGTTCTCTGCAAATGGCAGGGGCAGCTCTGAAGCACAGGTAATTGCTTGTCACGTGTAAACCACAGCTGAAGTATTTTGGTTTTTCTTGTTCGTGAACGGAAAGTTCCACTCCATGCTCTAACCTTTGGGGGGAAGTGAATTGCTTTGTTTCTATTCATTTCTATCCTTATGTCATGGGTCACTCACTGTCTCTTTCTCTGCCCTCCTCTATAAAATCCAAGGATGATATATCTATATATCACATATATGTCTTCTCTCTCTCTCTCTCTCTCTCTCTCTCTCTCTCTCTCTCTCTCTCTCTCTGTGTGTGTGTGTGTGTGTGTAATTCTGAGAATGGTAGCCCTCTTGCAGCCCTCTTTTGGGTTAGAATCCACAGGAGAGGTCTCCATCTCTTACACAAATGATCTGCCCTTTGTTCTCTTAGGTGAAAAAGATGAAGAACTCAGTGAACTCTGTAACTTATTCTCTGAGTCCCAGTCCCATGAATGTTACTTTCTGGTGTGTGACCTTGGACAAGTAATTAGTCTCTGTGAGATGGTTTTGTTATACTTAAGCAAAAGATAAGAGTGTCCTACTTTATAAAGAGTAAGTAAAGCATTCACTGTGCATGGCTTTATTTAGTACCTGCTATATAAATGCTGGGTAAATGCTTAACATTAGGTATTTCCTATTAATTCACCTGGTCTCTCATTCATTTGTGCAATAAATATTGAGCCTCCTGGGTGCTAGAAACATCAAGCTGAGTATATACATTACTCCTGGCTTCCAGGATGGCAGAGCACTAAGCAAGCAAGTTGGAGCCTTCTGCATACCACCATAAAGCTAGTGTGGAATAGAGGTGGCACACATCCTTATTTTTACCTAGGAGGAGGGCACTGTCAGAAAAACTTGGAAACTGAAATGTGTCAAAGTACCTCCACATGACAATCTAACCAGTTAGATCCCAGCCCTATTCTTATCAATCAGATTTTTGTTTTGTTTTGCTTTAATTGTGTTTTGTGATGGAGTTCTGCTGTGTTATCCAGGCTGGTCTGGAACTCTTGAACTCAAGAGTTCCTCTTGCCTCAGTTTCCCCAGTTGCTGTGGTTGCAGACCCAGTTCTGCACTCTCAGCGTCAAAGCCTCGTTGTTTGGTTGTTTTCCTGATGTTTGCTCTTCTTTCAGCACAGAATGGACCTCCCACTAGCGTGCAGGCGGTGGTGAAACTTAATGAGGCTGATACAGCAGCATTCACTTCGGGGATACATTTGGAACAGCTGGGGAATATTGGAGACACACTGTTGCCAGGCGTTGTGATTTTCTTTCCAAGGCTTCCAGGTGATGTCAAGACACAGGCAGGGCTGAGAAATACAGATCTAAACCAATCCCGCAATATTTTTTTTTTCTCTTGCAGTGATTGGGTTAGGCATGACCATATGATCCACTCTTGGCCAATAGGAAGTTTTTGTAGAATCAGAGCTAAAGAGGATATTTCTGGAAAAGGACGCCCCCCCCCCCCCCCCATAGCCCAGGTGAAGGACTTTCACACGGTTTAAAGTAACCCTTTTCTCTCTAGGCACTGTTTAGTCTGCGTTGGAACGTGGGTAATTGCTATAGTCATCTTGATACGAGGGAGTTTATCACCATCACTGACTCTTAGCATGAGATAGCCCATTGGCTTGCTGTCCTGTGTCATTAATGTGTTGTTAAGCTTCGACTCCCTGAATTAACCAACGTGGTGCTTAACTCCAGGCTTCTTGCTGTGTAGCATAATAAACCGTGGTGTAGCTAAAAACATCCTGACCACACCTCATGTGCTGTTTTAAAGTGAACATTCTTTACATCAAGCGTATCTACGATGCCAGTTACAGTAACGTGAGGCAGGCCTTCAATAATAAGCATGTGCTTTCCCGTGATTGTGCAGACAAAATTGATGGAGTGGAATAAAGAGGAAAACTAATGACCCATTTATGTTGTGCTTTCAGTGGGAATGTCAGTTTTATTCTGGAAACAAGCGTCTACGGGGCCGAGCAAGCCATCTAACTCAGATGGTAAAATGCTTTTGTAGCCTATGGGAAACTCTGGTTTTTACCTCAGCATGGTGTAAATCGGGCATGGTGTCTCACACAAGTAAACCCAGCATTTGGAAGGTGGAAGCAGGAAGATCGGGAGTTCAACGTCATCCTTGGCTACATAGCAAGTTAGAAGTCAGCCTGGGCTACATGACATGGGCCTTGGAGGTGGGGGTGGGGCGCCCAGAAAGGAACTCTAGGCAGATCCATTTATAAAACTAAGAACAATGGAAGAAACTTTCAACTAGATGTTTTGGTCAGGGACAATATTAGGCAGAACTCTACTCTAAAAATGTGTTTTGTACTTAATGAATATTCTGGTAAAGTTTTAGTGATCCTTTATAAAAGTTTCAGTGGTTTGTTTGGTTTTTATGGACACTTCTCAAGTCAAGAGGTATGCTGGTTATTTTCTGTCAACCTCACACAAACTAGAATCATGCGTGTAGAGGGAACCTCAATTGAGAATGAGACACCCTCACCCCCAGTACCCCCACCCCCACCCCACCCTGGTCTCATGTAGGCCAGGCTGACCTCTCAGTTGCTATGTAGCCAAGGATGATTGCCTCCATAGGGCTGGTCTGTGGTTCTATCTGTGGGGGCATTTTCTTGATTAATGATTGATGGACACTGACAGTGGGCTGTGCCATCCATGGGCAAGTGGACCTGGGCTGTATATGACAGGTAGCTGAGCAAGCCAGTTGCTGGCATTCTTTCATGGGCTCTGCTTCAGTTTTTGCCCTGAGTTCCCGCCTTAGCTTCCCTAGAAGGTGGACTATAACCTGTAAGCCAAACAAACCCTTCTCTTCTCAACTTGCTTTTGGTCATGGTGTTTATCCCAGCAAAAGGAAAAGCAAATAGGGCAAAATGCAGGACCAGGAATGCGTTGTCCTGCACCTGGTCACGTTGGCTTTGGGAAGAATTGTGGAAGGATTTTGGAGCTTTGTGCTCAAAGGGCCCGTTGAGTGCTCAGAACTTAATGATCTTGGGAGATAGGAATGTTGAGAGAGGTGCAGACAATTGGAGGCTTAGCTTGTGACGTTTCAAAGGGAAGCGAAATCTCCATCAGGGCCATTTTTGTGATACTTTGGGTTAAGAATCTGTAGAAGTGAAATCTTTGCTGTGCTGGGACAATTGAAGCTGGCTAGCAGGGAATCAGCTGTGATTATCAAGAGATCAGCCTCATGCAGCACTCACAGGGCCTGTCCAGGTTCAAGCCAGAGGAGGCCCAGCACTGAGAGGAGGAAGTAAACACCGCTCCCACCCCTAACCAAGAAGCTAGCTGCAGTTGACACCCTCTTGCAAAGGAAAAATTAGTTTTCTCCAGTGGTGTCTAATTGGGTATATTAACCACACTTAAGGGTAGACCCTCCCCGCCATGCCCATCAGTTGAGGACCAATACCGAACAAATTCGATGTTATTTCAGTAGATTTCTTTTTGTCTCATATTGCTTTGTTTAGGGATTTTTTTGGCCTTTGTGTTTTGCTTGTATATTATGGTTTCCATTGTGTGTGTGTGTGTATGTGTGTGTGTGTGTGTGTGTGTGTTTCTTCATTTTTGAAAAAAAAATTCTTGTTTGTTCTTTTGTTTGTTTTCCTGTTTTCTAAGGGGAGTGAGAGAAATAGAGAAATAAAGGTCTTGGAGTTGGGTTGGTGGGGAGAATCTGAGAGGAACTGGGGAAGAGGAAACTGTGATCAGAAATTATTGTATGCATTTTTTTTCAGTAAAAAAAGAAACCATTTTTGATTGGTAGGGGGAGCAGGACTCACTAAGGCAAAATCTTCTGTAGTCAGGACACAGAAGCTGGGGGCTAACACGGGCAGCCAAACTTGGTACTGTGTACGAGTCCCACATGGTGCTGTTTTTGATGGCATGCAGGCAGCAAGATTGAAGGAATCATAGAAAGCAGCTGAGGCTTGATGCTATGAGAGGCTAGGAAAGGTCATTGGAGAGAACACTGG